AGCAAGTCCTAGAGCTGTTCGTACTTCTCTTCGTGATGTGAAGTTGCCCTGAGTTATTCTAATGCTTCTCGAATCTTATCGTAAGGCGTACTCACTGTGCGTCTCTCTTCGGCCTCTTGTTGTGATTTTCTTTTGTCGTATTCAGCCAATTCTGACTCGTATCTGGTCCAGGCTTCTCTACGCTGTCGAGCGCGGTGTTGGAGCCCTTGCTTCAACTTGTTTTTTCTTTCTCTAGCCTGTCTCTAACTCTCGGTTTCTCCATCGTAGCCCTGGGCAAAGGGTGATATGTTGGACTCTGATTCATCTGATGACCTGACATCGGGTGCTTCTGGGGGGTTTAATGGTGACCGAGGACGTCGAACCATGAGCACTTCCCGTGCGTGAGCCGTTCCGTTATTGGTGTTAGTTTTCATACTGTCGGAGTTGCTGATGACTTCAGTAGGCGCCTCGACGTCGTAGATTGAGTCTCCTTCTTGGTAAGGTAGAATAGCTGTTGTTGTTGTGCCGACTAGTTGGGTTCCGCTATCCTCAGGAACGGATCCTGACCAGTGGATGATACAGTCTTGCGATGTTATCGTTAGTACGAGACCCTCCTGAGCTCCTGTCAGTGGTATCCCAAGTGTTGGTTTGAAAGACCTTTCAAACTGTCCCTGATAGGATTTTGTCGTGTTGTCGAGCCCAAATGGAAAAGAACTCAGCCTTTTGAAAGAATTCTAAGGATAATCCGAGTTGTTTTGGGTTGTGCTCTGGAATCTTGCCAAAAAGGAACTCAATTTCTTGAAAGCACTCGAATAAGACTTCATCTCGGATACGGAGCTTGAATTCGAGTCGGATGCGTGTAGCCGTGGAATCTTATTCGAATCGGGTATTATGGGCTGCACGAATCTTCTGGTGAGCTGATCCGTCGTAGTTGTCGAAATAGAGGATTCTTCATGATGATCCGGATCTTTGAGGAGATGGCTTTGAAGCTTGCCGTAGTTGTCCGCCTCGCAGATCCATGAGCCGAAGATGAAAATCGATCCCGTCGGGAAGATCATGTTATTGAGGTCCATCGAGGTCTCGGATGCAAAGTCGCCGAAATCCCGTACCTGGCGCGCTAGCTGTCGATGTTTTACCACCGATAGCCTGCCACAGGGGTACCGTGGCAGTATCGTTCGGGCTTCGGCGTATGCTGAACTCGATGGTAAACGCAAGAGACAGTCGATTTATCCTGGTTCAGGCCCTCGATCGTAGATCGAGTAACGACCCTACGTCCAGTCGGTGTTTTGCCTTTTGCGTTGGATTGATTATGAAGTGTTATGTTGTACAATTGTTGTTCTCTCTTTCAGGGGCCCTGCCCTCCTTTATATTATCAGGAGGCCAGAGTCCTAGTCGGTTTACAATGAGATTTCCTAGTAGGATTACTTAATAGTTCTTCTATTTAAAATTCCATGGGAAGAATCCTAGTTGAACTAGATCTTTTATCTCTCTTGCGGGGTATCCTGTAGGTCCCACATCGACAATGATTCTGGCCATGCAACCAATTTTAGGACTTGTGTGTGTAAACAACCCATTTTTTAGTTGATATAGATGGTGCTGATTTCTTAGTTAAAGCTATCGTCTTTGATGACCTCGCTTGTTTTTTATTGGAAAACTGCAATGCCTTTTATGTTACAACAAAATTTCATTTCTCAAAATGCTGTTGGTGGTACTGTGTCAGTTGTCAACAGTCCAATTCCATCCTCACGGTTTTAACCCTCAAACTAGTGTATTAGACTTGAGGATTGCTACTGATGTGTTTTCAGTGTTTCCAGATCCTGTCTGAATTCAGATGCTCTCCTTCATGCACACGTGGTCTCATATTAGGAAGTGAGCCAGTTTGTCCTCCTGATTGCTTCCAGTACAAGGGAACACTGTATTCTTGAAAGTGATCATAGGAAGAGAATCAAGAGAGAGCATCAGTGAGCCAATGTAAGTCATAGTTGTATTGGTGTACTTATTTGTTGATGTAATCATTACTAACCAACCTGTTCAATGCTTTCCAGAGGGAGGGGAAGAGGAGGGCGAACAGGAGGAAGGCTAGCTAGATTGTTAGGTCTCTAGGTGGTCCTTGAATGAGATGGATGTAGCTTTTATGCACATGTTTACATGGTGCAGACTTGTTTCTTTTGTGGATATATTGACATGGTGCAGTTACTTTTGTGGACATGTGACATGGTGTAGACCTGTAGCTTTTGTGGACATGTTTTTTTTTACAACTTTTGTGGACATGTCGACATGCTGTATGGTAGACTTTGAAATGTCGTGGTTCTCCATGATTTTTCTCATGTGTTTTATATGTGCTTCATATTGTTGTCATGATGCTAGCAAAATATAGCAAAGGTGCTACCAAAATTTTGAATATTTATCAATATTAAATCTGAGTTCAAATAATTACAAGTTGTGCCAAATATGTTTGACCAAATTTAATCAATTGTCAGCATACAATAAAAAAGTCTAATTTCAAATCAGGGTAAAATCACAATTAGGCATAACAAACAAGGACAAAATCGCATAGACATTCATGTCCTTTTGTACAAAGTTTAACACCGTTAGGGGTGAATGACGGAGCAGGAGCAAACTGGTGCTTCAATGGCACAGTAGGGGTAAATTCACAAAGTAAAAAAAAATATGAGCAAAATTACAATTTCGATACAAAACAAGGGTACAAACGTAAGAGCCCCTTTAGTTTAAGTTCATTCATTAAGTTGTTGCTGGTCATCTTTCGTCAGGATGAGTAACACATAAAACTTTCAGCTCAATTTTGAATCACAGTGATACCCAACCGCTCAACTGTACCTATAGAGCGAGCGTTTCAATTTTCGAACATAAATGCTGTCCATGGTTTGTGAGGAACTGAGGATGCACACCATTGCTCCATTGGTAAATTAACTAGTGTCATATCAAGAAATCAGCACAAATGTTCTCGAGGGCATTTTAAGTCACGAATCGACAAAGCAAACTGAGCTTATATCAACCAACTTCGTAAAGACATGAATGTAATGTTTCAATTGAAGGTAATAGTAGTAGATATAGTGGCATGGGACCAAACCAATTATAACTGCAAATAAAAAAAAAACTCCTATATATTTGATATGGTTACTGCCATCAGAATGCTGTTTTCTACATGATTGTATAAATTTAGACCAATTTAAGTGCATAGCTTTTCAGCAGAAACTGTTTCAATCGATGCATCAAGAACCTGAAAACAAACTATCTTTTAGCTAAGATCACTAAGGTTGTTCAAGATTACTGTTAAAAGAATGCACAAGCTTTTACGTAATATCTGAAACATTTCTTTCAACATTGCTGAGCAAAGGGAAACTCAACTATTAGGCCTATTCGACTACAGTGATACAACGAGGGTTCATGGTAACCTTAGTGAAGGTGCAAAGGCTTTCTGATGATATCTAAAAGCTTTTTGTTCAATTATGTTGAGCACAGGGAAACCCTAACAACAAGGTATTTGCAATAAAAGACTACCCTAACCTTGGGAGAGCATGTAAAACAGCACATATTATTTCTCCATTGGTAAACTAACAGTCTAGATCAATGTAACAACATAGATTATCCAGGGCATATTAATTAATGATAATAAGAAAGTAAAGTGACATTATATGAATCAACAACACAGACACCTAGGCCTGGTTTTAACTTGTAACTGAAGGTGAATGAGGACTTCAGTGTGGTGCTTAATGGCAACCTTGACAACCAGGAAAGGCTTTGGGGGAAGATACAACTGACAGAACTTCCAGCCAGGAAATTACTATTCATGTTCTGAAACAGAGCATCTTAACAACAATAGTGGCATGGGACCAAATCTTATTATCAGAATGCTGCCTTCTCCATGTACAAATTATGAAGTTAAAACAATACTCCTATATAACAGCATATAGCTTTTACCAAACGGTGTTTCAATGCAAGTATGTAGAATGTGAATTGAGCTTAGATGAAAACTAAAACTGCACGAAGACATGATTAATATTGATAATGGAGGAAGATATGGGATACTGTTCATGGTAAGTTGGTAACCTTGACACACAAAAAACTTTTGAGAAAAACTGAAAGATGTGATGGCCATTAGCCAATTCAAGTATATGAAAGTCTCTGCTTATCAGCAAAATGCTCTAAAAGGAACAAATTACTAGTAATGGTTCTTCTATGAATCAAATTATTAGTAACAGTGTCATGGGACCAAAAGAAGAAATTCAAAAACCAGCCATACAGATTTAGTGTGAAATGTGAATTTAGCTATGATACTAATTACTAACTATGATAGGGCTAGCCCCATCCATTTGATAAGTAAATTTAGTGCATAATTCACAACCCAATGGGACTGCTGGACAATTGGACAAATCGATTGGCTCACAGGTCCAAAATCGCAATCATCACAAGTGAGTAAGTGACTGCACATGTAAGACAATGTTTTGGACAATCCCATTACATAAAATCGAAAGAGTGGCAATCAACACAAGTAGGCAACACTAGAAATCCTACAGCAGGCCCATGAAATTTCCAGATTCCAATACAAATTGATGGCCAAAGGATAAGGTATGCTATGACCCAATCAAAAGTAGCACTAAATCAGCATGAATACATAAACCGGTGCAGATCATAGCAATGATTCGTGATCAGGCAAGCCAAACAGTGAAGAAGGAAGCAGATCCACACTTTACATTGCAGTAGTATTACATTACAGGTAGCTAAGCAAAAGCACCATCAGGCAGATCCATTAATTAATCGATCCATTGATTGGGTGATAATCACACGCACACACACTCACACACCAACCATTATCTGTTTATCCAAACCCTAAGCAGCAGTCCCGAAAGCACGGAAGAAGAGGCCAAATTGAATTCAAACGAGCCAGCCATAGGAGGGAAACAAAATCAAATCACGGGGACGGGAGGGAGACGAAGTCATTACAGACGAAGAGCGCGGGGGGCGGCGGTGGATCGGACTGGAGGGAAAAGGGGACGGGATCATTTGGCGACGATGCGGCGGATGAAGTCGTCGTAGCGGATGGTGCCGTCGGGCGCGACGTCGACCTCGCGGATCCACTCGTCGAACTCGTGCGCCTCGAGCTTCTCGCCGATGGAGGTGAGGACGTGGCGGAGGTCGGCGACGGAGACGGTGCCGGAGCCGTCCTTGTCGAGGACGCGGAAGGCGTCGCGGAGCGGGCGGTCGAAGGGCTCGGGCTTGAGGTGGGCGCGCATGAGCTCGAGGAAGCGCGGGAGGTCGAAGGGCGCCGTGAGCTTCTCCTGCGCGGCGATGTCCCGGAGCTGCGCCTGCGTGGGGTTCCCGCCGAGGGAGCGCATGAGGACGCCCAGCTCCGACGGCGCGATTTTGCCGTCCCCGTCCGTGTCGAACAGCGAGAAGGCCTCCCGCATCGAGGCGATCTGGTCCTCCGTCAGGTCCTTGCCGCCCATCGCCGCCGCCGGGGTCGTGGGATCGGATCGGATCGGGGCGGGGATCGGAGATCTCGCGGTGCGGGGAGCCGGAAAGGGAAGGGGGCAAGAGGCGTGTGGGCGGCGACTGATTTGGGTGGTGGCCGGTGCGTGGTGGGGGTCCGGTCGGGAACAGAACACACCACGCGCTCGTGGCTCGTCTCGTCTGATTGGGCTCGCGGTGGACTTTGGAGTGCCCGTGCTGGGCGGGCTCGTTGTGAGGTCTGAGAGGCCCACGGAAGGTTTGGTTGGAGGTTGGCTGCGCACAGCGGCACAGGATGCAGCATCATGGGTCGCACGGTAGCTGGGCGGGGCCTGAATTTTTTTTGTTTGAATATATTTTTTCTAAAAAATAAATACAAACTACTCCCTCCGTTTTAAATTTTAAGCCGCCTTAAATTTTTTTTTACATTACGTCGAGATTAAGAACAGCCGAAGTCGTACCCTGGAAGCTGGACGGCCACCACATACAGCATGGCGATTCCGGTTGCTTCATGGGATATGGCTGCCGCCGCGCCGCGACTGCTCTCTCCGGTTGGCTGACCTCAAGCTCCCAGTCCCAGCTGGAAATCCAAGGCAGTGCAAATTGCTGAACAGGCTCAGGCAGCAGGAGGCCGCCACGAAGGCAACCTTGTCCATGGGATACGTGAGCATGGCTTACCCTGCCTTGTCCACCACCGACGATGACGACGATGGTGATGTCGTCTACCTGCTGTCCAAGTCCAAGGGGCGGACCGGCATGGAAGCGGTGATCACTGTCGATGCGACGGAGGGTACTGTGCGAGGAGTGGCGAAAGTTCATGCTCAAAGGCACGTCAGATTTCAGCGCCGCTTCTTTGCCACTGGGATCTCTCTCTAAACATTACAGGTAGCTGAGTTGTTTTATCTGCTTCTTGTTGCTGTAGCAATAGCAAGTGATCCAGTTCTCATTTATATATATGCTGTGTTATTTGTGTTTATGAATTGAGAAGAAAAAACTTTTGAGCTCCGGTCCATCATCCATGCACCATGCATGCCTGGAAAACAAAAGGTGAACTTTTGTTGCATTCAGGCAGCTACGACTGTTTCATTAAAACGAACACTAATTAAAACTGATTGGTTTTTATAACTTTGTTGTAAACAAATGATACAGGTGTGTGTTTGGGTACCGCTCCACAAACTTCACCATCGAGCAGCTCCACAATAAATCTGAAGTTTGTGGAGCACCCCTTTAAGTGTTTTCACAACTCTACTTTTTTCCTGGACCAGAGTTGAACCGTTGCTAAGCATACTTTTTGTAACTAGAAGCTTATGTGGATTGATTTTACATTGTGCAATAATCCTGAGATAGAGGATTTGTATTCGAATTCATAATTCATTTTTGCGTTGCAGCTAGTGAATCAATTTGTGAATATGTTGTAAATAAAACTAATGCCCTGTTTGGTAGAGCTTCCGACTCCAACTACTTTGACGCATTCACGGTTTTTATTATGCACTGTTCACTAGAGGTCTAGAGCTCTTTTTCTCTCTCCTCTCCCCCCATCAGTCATCTGTGAGATGAGGGGAGATGAGAGATAAAAAGAGCTCCTGTAAACATGCATGGAAAGTGAATGCGTTAGAGAAACCGGAGCCGACAGGAGCTCTACCAAACGAGGCCTAAGTTTGCATGTAGTCGTTCACTGCGACCAATCACACACTAACACACATGATACTATTTCGTGACTCGTTACTGGCTTTGACTGTTTTAGTAGCGCTCCCCTGCACTGCAACTGCATGCATATCTGCACGGTGGAGGAGATATATCTTCATTAGTTACATCATGAGATACAAGATGCTAGATAAAATCATCCGAAAAAAAAGAAAAAGAGGGTGCAGATTCCATTAGAGTGGTGATAACGAACTCCCACTTAACCGGAGCATGTGTTAACTTGTTATTAAAACCAAACCGCAAAAGTGAGTGAGAGAGAGAGAGACCCTCCCCCTCCTCCTTTCCAGGCTGCCCGGCCCAAACCAGTCGACGGGCTGTGTGGCCCAGTAGTAGCCTGAAACCAGACCACACAATTTTGCACCGAAAATTGGAAGCCGCCGTGCAGCGGGCCGTTGCCACGTGCTGCCTTTACTACGCTGCGTCAGATTGATCGATCCGATGGCCCACTGGGCGCATCCCCGCCCATTCCTTCCCATCCCCTGTCAGACGGAGGAGCACTCGCTACACTAGTCACTCCTCAGTTTGACCCGAGTCGGTCGGGGTCGGTCCCGATGGGGTGGGGCGCTCGATGGGATGGAAATGGGGATGCGGCGCCCGCCACGCGTCGCGTCGGCCCGCTTTAATTTAATGCGCTCACGCCGCGGCAGACGCTCCTCCACCCACTTCCCAAGCTCCTCGCTTAATTCAAATTTCGAATCCGCAACGGTTCTGATCCGGCGGTTCCTGTCGCGTCAAGATTCGTGATACGTTCCTTAGTTGCCACTAGCGGGCGGCAAGTCATGTCCGCGAGTAGAATTGCAGATCGGAAAGTGGCTGCCCTGCGAATCTGCGATTGGGCGATTGACTCTTGTCTGGACGCTCCTTGTTACTGTACCACTAATTTGAATTTAATTACGGCTAGCAGATAGCTCAATGATTTGTTGCGCACGTACCAGTAGCAAGTGCGAGAACGAACTCGTGCGATCGCGGCGGTTGCTCTCTCTCCTTGGGTCTCGTTTAGATTAGGGTTAGAAATTAGTATTTGACACTGTAGCATTTTTGTTTATATTTGATAATTATTGTTCAATCATGGTCTAACTAGGTTCAAAAGATTCGTCTCGTAATTTACAATCAAACTGTGTAATTAGTTATTTTTTTATCTACATTTAATATTCCATGTATGTATTTAAAGATTTAATAATGAAAGAGAATGAAAAAACTTACAATCTAAACGAGGCCTTGGCTTCTCCGGTGACGGTGAGGATGTATGGATTCGATCGCCGTACGTGCGTGGCACGTGCCGCTCGCGCCACGGATCCAGGTTTGAATTAATTACGCAGCATGCATTTCAGTGTTGGTTTCTGCTTCCGTCCAATGGTGATTTGTTTCTGCTTCAGGCTTCAGCACCTGTGCGGGAGAACGGGAGTACGTACCAGCGAGCACCCGCGTACGTCAAGCCTTCAACTCCCGTTCCGTGCCCGTGCTCCTATATACGGGCCATGCCTCGTCGGGCCGTGCCTGGGCCGTGCCAGGCCGGGCTAGCGCGTTGCCCATCTATACGTGCTCCATCCTCTCTTCGTTACAACGGTGGCGGTGGCGTCAGGTGTGGCCGTTTTTTATAACCAAGTTTAACAGCGCCCATGCTAGTTTGCTAGCTCGGGCCTTCATTAATATCATAAATCTTTGTAATCTTCTTTAAAGTTTTGATGAGATATTTTGATTCTCAAAAAGGTTAGAATGACTTATAATTTAAATAAGAGAGAATAACATGTGCACGATGAAGCTCTCCTTTTGTTATTTGATCGATACAAAAACTGATCAATTTTTGAAATCGATTTATCAATATCGCACTATCTTTGTAGCTTCTATGATAGTTAAGTTTCTAGATATGCTCTAATGTTTAATTTTGACACTGAATTTTGCTAACGATATCAATCTTGTCCTCCTCCCGATCCTCTACGGAGGAAAATCCTCCCATTGGTATAGTTTCTATTTTTTTGTATTAAAGAATAAAGAAGTATCCTCGTGTCCTTGCCCATTCGCAGGTGCACTAGTATCTTTTACAACAAGGGCCCAATCCATTTGTCTTTTAATTCGTAATTTTTAGTTTGTTTTTTTTATTGAAATAATATTTTTCTCTCACAACAAATCAAGTAGAACAATATTTCGGTTTGTTTTTTCAGCAAAGCGAACGGAGCCAAGGTGTTTAGATCCCATCCTCACAACACCACTATAACAGCATCCTGTTCTGCAGTCCTACTTTAGCAGTACTTTTCAGTGAACGAACATTGTTTTCTCTCATAACAAATCAGCGTAAACCAAATTTCAACTAAACCAACAGGGCCGGTATTGTGAGGGAGCCCCTAGAGACCCTATAGTAGATGGAAGCACGGGCAAAGAGGCCTAAATTTACACTTATTTTGCTATTGTAAACAATAGTAGAGTATATTTTTATATTAACATTGGTTAAAGTTTGAAATACTTAAATTATAGGATAAACCTTGATGTTACTACCTCCGCACTAAAAAGAATGCAACTATAATTGTGTGCCACGAAAATGATTCACGTTTTGACTAAGTTTTTAGTGAATAATATTCACAGTTATGTATTTAAATTAATTTATTATGAAAATACATTTCGTAATTAATCTGATAGTATTTATTTGGTATCATAAACATGGATATTTTTTATTTATAATTGGTCAAACTTAAGGTATTAAAACGTGACACCGTGGCTCTCGTCGCGTGCCCTTAAACCCGGCTTGATCCGTTTCTTTTTTTATCTGGAACAGTATTTTTCTCTCACAAATTCCTCCAGCATTCTTCTAAATCATCCAAATTTCTCCAAATTTCTCCAAACCAACAGGCCCCATGCTAGAATTGCAATTTTTTTAGATAGAGGCAGTACATACATACGAGGGAGCAAGAAGAAGATTCGCAGGGCAAGATTGACCGCAAGATTCCACTAGTTTACATGGACCGCAATGATAATCTACTCCTCCTGAGCAGGGTACTTAAGCAGATACAGTGTCTGATCCGTCCTTTACACCAGCAGCTACACATCGCCAGCCTATTTTGTACGTACGTATTCTCGTATGACACCACAGACATGCACATGACACATGCACTCGTGTACCACAGTAGCATCATCATGCATCCACGCTGCCACTCACAATCCCGATAAACCCGCTGCCTTTTCACCTTTTACTACTCATCCAAAACGCCTTTCCAAGCCTCCCGCTTTTGACTGCCTCACTTTTTACCACAAACGCCCCTATAAACCTCCGAATTCTCACACCCCACACAGCTCACTCGGTCACTCACTCACCAGTGTCACTCCGTCATGCCGTCCAGGAGCTCCCTCCTCCCGCTCCTGCTCCTGCTCCTGCTCCTCTGCACCGCCGCCGCCGCCGCGTCCTCCTCCACGCCCTCGCGCACTGCTGAGCTGGACGCGCTGATGGAGCTGAAGGCGGCGCTAGACCCGGCGGGGCGGGCGCTGGCCTCGTGGGCGCGCGGCGGCGACCCCTGCGGCCGCGGGGACTACTTCGAGGGCGTGACCTGCGACGCCCGCGGCAGGGTCGCCACCATATCGCTCCAGGGGAAGGGGCTCGCCGGCACCGTCCCGCCCGCCGTCGCCATGCTCCCGGCTCTCACCGGCCTCTACCTGCACTACAACGACCTGGGAGGGGAGATACCGCGCGAGCTCGGCGGCCTTCCTGGCCTCGCCGAGCTCTACCTCGGCGTCAACAACCTGTCCGGGACCATTCCCGTCGAGCTCGGCCGACTCGGTAGCCTCCAAGGTGATGCTGACTTTTTTGAACCTTTTTTTTTACTTTGATTGATTGATTGATTGGGGGATTCACATTAGAATCTGAAGAAGTGGTTTCATTTCAAATGGTGAGAAATTCGGGGCTTCCATTTCACCATTAGTGCATCCCTGTTCGTTATTTCTTAGCATTTCAGCTCGGGTGCTTCTTGTCGTTGGATAGGGATTATTTGAATACAAGTAAACAAACAAAATACTTTTGTTTTTTTAGGAAAAAGAAATTTGAATGAATCTGAAATTGGTTTTTGTCATATTATAGCCTCCGATTCCGAAACTCGGAATTGACAGAAATGAAGTTTAATTTCTCGTGCTACTCAAAATGCTCCACCCTTCCCCTTTGTTCTTTCACATACCCACCCAGGACATGTCCTTAAGTCCTTTCTTATTCTTTCAAAGCATTGTGCTTCCTTTGTCGTGACTCGTGAGTGCTGCACCTCTGATGATTGCCTTTGCCTACCTACAGTAGAGGCTAGAACAACAAGGTACAACAACACATGAATGGAAGGACACAATGGCTGTTTCTCGGCTACTTTGGTGTACTATGTATCATGACATTCACCTTTATCCTTTGCCTTCTCTACTGAGGCCTAAAGTTAGTTACTGACACAAAAGAAGCTTGGATTCTGCTCAACGAATTCCATTAATGCCTGGATTTGTTTCATCAGCGTTCTGCAATTGCGCTGTTCCTACAGATCCCCCTGTCATTCTACAGTTCATGATGGATGGGCATTACTTCTCAGTATACAACCAGAATTAGTTACATAAACCTGCCGAAAGTTAATTTGGCTGCGACAGTTATTTCTCTATAATGACAGAATTTTGCAGCAATTTGGCCATTGTGGATTTGACTGTACAGCTACTTTGGCGGATGTTTCATGATATTCTATCTTTATTGTTTGCCTTTTGTGCTGAGTGAAGTTAGTTACTGACACAAGAGAAGTTATGGATTCTACTCAAGGGATTAAGATTGGTTTCGTCCCTGTAACGAATCTGTTCCTACAGCTTTCCTCCTGTTGCTCTCAGCCATAATTGCCATTACCTGTTTGTCTACTTTAGGATTAAACAAGCCTGCCCAAAATTCAGTAGATCAACCTACCAAATGTTAGTTTGCGGCCATAATTGTCCTTGTCCTTCTCTAATGGCCGATAGCTTTAAAAGTTTTTTCCCCCTTGTGCAGTACTGCAGCTCGGCTACAACCAGCTCTCAGGGAGCATTCCAACTCAGCTGGGTCAACTAAATAAGCTCACTGTTCTTGCCCTTCAGTCCAACCAGCTCACTGGCGCAATTCCGGCTTCCCTCGGGGACTTGCCGGCACTGACTCGGCTGGACTTGAGCTCCAATCAACTCTTCGGCTCAATCCCCGCCAAGCTTGCTGAGATCCCTCATCTTGCAACGCTAGACCTCCGGAACAACACGCTTTCAGGAAGTGTTCCCTCTGGTAATTATTAGGATTTAGCTATGGCTTTCTTTCTTGATGCCACTGCTCACTTTCTTCGTTCTCTGAAAAAAATGTTATCTGATGATGTACTAGGTCTCAAGAAGTTGAATGAGGGGTTTCTGTATGATAACAATTCAGAGCTATGCGGAGCTCAATTTGGTTCTCTGAAAGCTTGTCCTAACGATGGCAATGACGATGGCAGAATGCCCCGTAAACCTGAATCAACCTCTGTCAAGCCCCAACAAATTCAAAAGACAATCGACCTCAACAGGAATTGCGACAATGGAGGTTGCTCAAAACCTTCGACGCTTTCCACAGGGGCTGTTATTGCTGGAACAGTCATCATTGTAGCTGGAGCAGTAGCCTGTGGCCTGTCTGTGTTCTCATGGCACCGTCGCCAGAAGCAGAAGGTTGGCAGTTCTGTTGAGCATTTGGAAGGCCGGCCTAGCCTGGACCAGTCAAAGGAAACATATCAGAGAAGTGCGTCCTCACTGATCAATGTTGAGTACTCCAGTGGCTGGGACACTTCATCTGAGGGGTCACAGCATGGAGTGAGGCTGTCATCAGAGGGCTCCCCAAGCGTGAGGTTCAATCTCGAAGAGGTAGAGTGCGCCACACAGTACTTCTCGGACGTGAACTTGCTCGGCAAGAGCAATTTCTCCGCGACGTACAAGGGGATCATGCGCGACGGCTCGGCTGTTGCAGTCAAGAGCATCAACAAGAGCAGCTGCAAGTCGGAGGAGGCCGACTTCTTGAAAGGCCTTCGTATGCTGACATCGCTGCGGCATGAGAACCTTGTTCGGCCTGAGGGGCTTCTGCCGGTCCCGGGCAAGGGGGGAATGCTTCCTCGTCTATGAGTTCATGGCCAATGGGAGCCTTTCTCGGTATCTTGACGCCAAGGAAGGCGATGCAGATGCTGCTGTCCTCGACTGGCCTACACGGGTCTCCATCATCAAAGGCATTGCCAAGGGTATGGTTCAGAACTTCCAATTTGTTTTCTGCTGACAGACTGTGCTTTTGGTATTTCACTCATTGAAGTTTATTTCAAAGGTTCATGGAAGTTTCAGTACGTTTTGCAGCGCTAATTTGCTCTGTGGATCATGAAATTTCCAGGCATCGAGTACCTCCACAGCAGCAAGCCAAACAAGCCCTCGCTTCTGCACCAGAGCATCTCGTCAGACAAGGTCCTGATCGACCACCTCTACACGCCACGCCTCTCGGGGGCCGGCCTGCACAAGCTGCTGGCCGACGACGTGGTGTTCTCGACGCTCAAGGACAGCGCGGCGATGGGGTACCTGGCGCCGGAGTACACGACGACGGGGCGGTTCACGGACAAGAGCGACGTGTACGCGTTCGGCGTGGTGGTGCTGCAGGTGCTGTCCGGGCGACGCGCCGTGTCACCGCACCTCCGGCAGGGCGGTGGCGGCGCGGCAGTGGCGGTGGATTCGTCGTCCGCCTGCGGCGGCGGCGGGCGGCTGGACGACCTCGTGGACCCGCGCCTGTGCGGGCGGTTCTCGCGGCCCGAGGCTGCCAAGCTCGCCGGCGTCGCGCTGCTGTGCACCGCCGAGGCGCCCGCGCAGCGCCCCGCAATGGCCGCCGTGCTGCAGCAGCTCGGCACCAGCCAGTGATCGCGCGCGGTGGATCGGAGCTCTCGCTGGCTGCCGGCGTGGTGACTGCTTGTTGCTGTGTTGGTTAACGGCTAGTGATCGGCTACTAGCTCGGTAGCTGCCATTGTTTCTTGTATGAACTTAGCGCCTGAGCCCCCAGCTCCTTCCTCAGGAGCTCGGCTGTAGTAGTAAGCTGGTGTGATTGTGATGCATCATCCGTTGTGGTGAGTTCTTGTTTTGCCAGTCGAAGTAGCTGGTGGCAGTTGGTTGCACGAAAAATACGTAAATACGTGGTTTGCACCTTCCGCTAGTACTGTAGGACCCCCGCGGGCGCAATGCTAGTACTGTAGTTAACTACTGCCTCATGGGCACTGATGTTTGATGCTGTATGTGATCCGGCAATGTACCCTTTGTTTGAAACGTAGAAATATCATAAAAAAACCATGACGAGTTTCTAGGAAACCATCTTTCTAGGATACCATTCATCAGTTTTTTAGAAGAAACTCGTTCAATATGGATGGGTTGGGTGAGATCTTCTTTTGCTGAATTCCAGAAATCCCGCATGCTAAAACCTGCACACGCAATGCTTGTAACAATAAAGTTTCGCCCGGCTAGCTAAACAAGCCCTGTCTGTTTCGCTGAAATTTGGCTTATACTGATTTGTTGTGAGAAGAAAATATTGTTCGTTCACTGAAAAATACTGCTGAAGTAGTTCGAGCAAAGCAAACCGGGCCTAAGTCAGGGCCTGTTTAGTTCCACTAAATTCTCAACTTTGGCACTATGCAAAAAGAAGATTCTCCGTCACATTAAAACTTGCGGTACATGTATAGAGTACTAAATGTTAATGAAATCAAAAACTAATTGCACAGTTTAGTTGTACTTTACGAGACGAACGTTTTAAGTCTAATTAGTCAATGTTTGGACAATTATTACCAAAAAAAAAAAAAATATCTGTAGCTACAGTACCTTCACCAATTCGGGCGGCGCCGAATCAGGCACCAACTAAACGTGGCCTCACTTGCAAATCTCTTGCCGTGCTTTTTAATAATTAATTAAAAAAGTCCAAACAGAGCAGAGCCGGACTGGCGGAGTGTCGTGTTGACACTCAGTCAGTCACCGAAGAATGAAGCAGGTAGGTAGGCTGAGATGGCTGAAAGAAAGTGCATGCAGGTCCCAGGCTTTGAGAGACAGTCCGTCCTTGTCGCCGTACTGGTGCTGCGTTGCTGATGAATGCCATGAGATGCATGCAATGCAATACTAGAGGGCATGCTTGGCGCGTGCAGAGCATTTAGGAGGTGTCGACGAGGTGGTTGGTGCTGCCATGACTGACTCTGGCTGCCGTTGCCGCCAAGCAGGTGGTCCGTCCGCCTCATCATTTTTGGAGGAATGGATGGAATTCCATGCACTGCACTGCAGGTCGTCTGAGCAAGCAGAGCAGAGCAGAGGCTCCTTTCCCCTCCTCCTCCACCGCCGAGACCCGAGTGATGGAGGGGCAGAAGTGTACTCCATCGATCGATCGTCTGGAGGCCGGCAGACGGAGGCGGGTCAGGTCCCGGCATTGAATACGAACGCGCACCAGCAGTCCACCACGGCGGATTTGAATACAGGAACAGAGGACCGGACATGTCAGCCCGTGGCCGTCCGTACCTTGCCGCCGCCGCTGATGAGTGATGACCCTCCTCCCTGGGCCCTGGCCTCCTGCTATTGAATCCCACGGCGGTTTCAGTTTGAAAAAAACGCCGGCCGCCGTTCCTCTTGCCGCCTTGTGTTGTTTGAGCAACAGTCGCGTAGTTCGGGAGACCGGAATGGGCGTTCTCCTTCCGAAAAATGAAATGAAATGAAATCTGCGCACCTGGTAGGCCCACAAGCCGTGTCTGATCAAAGTGGGCTGGGCTGGACAGGACTCTTTCTCCAACGGAAGACATAAAGGAGGCCCATTAAATGTGTCGTCTACAATCAAACAAAAAGACTTTGCTAAAAAAAAAATCAAACAAAAGCGACCAGAGAGCTACAACAGCTGGGGCAACTGTCTGAGCTGCCAGATGAAATAGTGTGTGCATTAGAAGGATGACCACAAACTGGCTGGCAACGGCCTTCATCTATAAGGCGTCGATCAGAGGGGAACATAAGCTTCCATCCTTCACCTTCATCTGGCGTAACTTTGCCCCTCCTAGAGTCTGGTTCTTTGCCTGGCTACCAATCCAGAATAGAATCCAGTGCAAAGTGAACCTTGCAAAGAAAGAGGTGCTCACCGTGTGTTCCGAGGGCTACCTCCCAGTGCAGTGTGGATCGCCTGGTGATGGCCTGCAAATCAACGACAATCCTTTGGCAGTGCCGTATCCCTAAGAACTTTCCACTTCTTTCTAGTTTCTGGAGATCAGTTGTTTGGATGTAATTACTCTCTTCTATTTCTTCGAGTTGTATTTGGCGCCAAGCCGCACATTTGGGGTCAATGACCCTCCACCCACCAGACCTCTTTGGTAATATATCCAGGTGGTGACTCTTTGTCCCCCGTTGCATTTCAAAAAACAAAATCAAACCAAAGGGAGAGAGAAAAAAAGCAAAAGGTCGTCGGCCTTTCCAATATTTTCTGTTGGGTAATAAAAAAAACAGTCTCCAACACTCAGTTGCTTAGACTCTTGATAAAAAAAACGCTATGATGTTTCCTACTGATGGGCTTTGATAATGTATCCATTGAGAGAGATAGGGAAGCCCTAGCGGCGACCCTGATGGCCACCGCCAGCCGCCATCCCGGTGCCGGTGGCCCCGCCCCTCACCTCCTCTCCCTGCCTACAGCCTCCAAGCCCACAGTTCCAGCCCCTCCCGCAGCCTTCGGTGCCGTGGGATGCGCCTCCTCCTGGGAGTCGCCGACGCAGCTCATCTCCCGGCCTAGCACCGCGGCTGCCGAGGACAACGCCTCCTCTAGCAGTCGCCGCTCCAGGAGCCGCCGGCCACCACGGAGCTAGGCGAGTCCGGCGCGGGCGGCCACCTTGGGAACGAGGCAGTTGGCGATGACGTGCCATCGACGGCACCGCAACCATCCACGGGGGAGGGCACCTCCCGTGCGACGACGGCTGCGCCAGCCGCGCCGGTGCCCCACGGGCCAAGATCTGGGCCTGCGTGGCCCGCCGCTGCCTGATCTGCCTGCGATGGGGGCTAGGTCACCGGAGGTCATGGGGAGCCCAACGTCGGAGCCTGACGAGCCTCCACTCCGCGACGCTCGCCCCATGGAGGTGGTCCTAAACTCGCCAGATCTGGGTGCCGCTGTCGTCGCCGCCACCAGATCTGGAGCTGGGGCGACGCAGCGGGCTCCCTCAACTCCAGCGACGCCGCCGTCGCCGGGCGCCGCCGTCGCCGGGCGCCGCCGTCGCCGTGCACACCCCCTCCGGGCCCAAATTCGTCGCCGTCCTGCCTACGCCTACCACATACGGAAGGATTGAGGATGAGACACTGGTCATCGTCGAGGACGTCCCGAAAGATGAGGACGAGGAGGAGGATGCCGCGCGCTCTGGCAGGTCCTCGCTGTCCTCCCTCTCAGCGCTTGCCCCCCCTTCTTCCCCACCTGCCGGTCAGCTGGCAGGAGCGAGTTCCGACGTTGGGAGGAAGACCCCAGCGCGGGCAGCTCCGACTACGAACTCGCTGCTTCTGCCACGCGCTCGTCGTACCTGGACGCCGCTCGCAAGGCTCTCTAGGCCACGCCTCCACCGTTGGCAAGATTTGCTCCTGGGGACAGGTTTAATATCCCTAGATTTATGTGGACTGAGTTGAGATTTGCAGTGAAGGATGGGAGGAGGGGTCTCCTATGCCCCTTACCTCATGTTCATAATTGAGAGGGTCAGCTGGATTTTATTTTCTAAAGGATGGGATGCATACCGTCTACAAAATTGAGAAGACCCAGTCAGCTATAGCTACTCAGGGAGCGGGGAGCTCTTATGCTCATGTAGATATTCCTGAGTCTTCCCGCTCTAGGTTTCATAGAGGAGGCAAGATGAAGAAGTTTGGTAAGTGGTTGAAGGCAATCTTCGGTAAGTGCACCTATGCAGCTGACAGAGCGTATGAGACATAGCTTGAGCAGCGTCAGCAACGTGGACAAGACCTTCCACCACTTCCTCCTATTCCACCTCCTCCACAGTCTGACCTTTCGAGTCTCTCCGACACAGATCCGATGATGATGATGATGATGAGCAGCAGGGATGAGCTGCAGATTGGGATGAGACCCTAGAGAGATACCATCAGAGACAGGAGCCAAGGTGTTCCACTCGCTACACCATCACTACTCACCGTTAGGGCCGTGCACGTATTGACTCCGACGACGATGATGGTGATGGTGGTGCCAGGACTGCTGCAGGAGGTGATGATATTGATTGGATGGACATCCAGGGAGATGACGAGTAGTTGTTGATATTTCTTCTTTTATTCTCCTTTTGGTGCTTTATGCCAAAGGGGGAGAAAATTAGAGGGGTCAACAACTTTTCGACTCCATGGTTGGTCAGCAGCTACGCTTCATGTCTTATTCGATGAGTGTTAGTCTTCGCTAGGTGGAAAGCTTGAGAGTCGCTCAAAACTCTAAATTGTAAAATAATGCTACTATTTGACTCTTTGTGTATTAGATATGGATATGTATCGTTGTGTGGATTAGAAGTCATCTTATTGTGCTAGGTTGTATATTTTCTTTATGTAAGCTAGCTGTGTGGTGCTTGACTCTAGCACTGCCGTACAACAGCAAATCATGGTGTGCATAAACTGTCATTTGCATCACGTTTTACATATCTGACACAGTATGCAGCACCCCACAGGAGCATGGATGTAGGGGGAGCCCCATCACTTTCACTAAAACATGAATCTTGGCTTTTTATGCCAATTTAAGAATTCAATTCTCTATTCACATACTTAGGGGGAGGCTCTACACCCATGGCTCAAAAATCTCAGTATTTATTTCAAATCTTTTGTAAGCTCTAATTGGGTTGTCATCAATCACAAAAAAGGGAAGATTAAAAGTGCAATCAAGCCCTAATTATGGG